GTTCTTGGCACTGACTCCGGGGGGAAGCCGCGGTGGGCTGCGCGCCCTGCGGAGAGGATGCCATTGCTTCCCGGTGAAGTTCATGGCTCCTGGGAATGTTTGCAACGGAGACCCTGTTTTTTGCAGGTTGGCCATGTTTTACCATCCATCACACTCCTGAGAGTTACAAGAGAAGTTGTTGTTGTTTGGTTTTGCTTTTTCTGACATGTTTTGTCGATGCCGGAGCTCTTTGTGGGGGAAAAGAAAATGTTATTCCTCCACAGGACTCCTGCCTTGTGGATGCACACGTGTTCAGTCTCCCAGTCAAGTTTCTTGTTCACGCTGTTGGCTTCTTGCTGTAGAAGAGTTTGTCCGCTTGACTTGCACTTCCTTCTCTGCGTTTCCAGGTCCTGACAGCATTGTGATGGTTCCCATTGTTTTATACTATGTCCCTTGAATTTATATAGTGAGTGTGTGTATATATTTCAGAGAGGAAGGGAGAGATAGAAACATCAGTGACGAGAGGGAATAATTGATTGGCTGCCTCCTGCACGTTGGACCGAGCCTGCAACCCAGAATCAAACCTGGGACACTTTTTATGCTATGTCCCTAGTAGTTAAACGGTGAGTTGTATGTATACATTGATGTCCACATCTCTTATGACATGCACATCTGTTGGGATGGTGGACAGGAGTATGAAACCTAATAAAGAAACGGTGTATCCCTGGCCGGTTTGGCTCAGTGGATAGAGCGTCGGCCTGCGGACTCAAGGGGCCTAGGTTCGATTCCGGTCAAGGGCATGTACCTTGGTCGCGGGCACATCCCCAGTGGAGAGTGTGCAGGAGGCGGCTGATGGATGTTGCTCTCTCATCGATGTTTCTGACTCTCTATCCCTCTCCCTTCCTCTCTGTAAAAAAAATCAATAAAATATCTTAAAAAATAAATAAACGGTGTGGTGTGTTTTTTTTAAAGTCAATGTTCTCCACTTGTAAGGGTAATGTTTCCCTGACCATTCTAGAACAGATTTTGTCATTTTAAGATACACAATTTGCCCGAGAGAAAAGTCCTCAATTGCTGCTTTTTTCCTTTTCCCGGATTTCCCAGCACATCGTGGACTGATAAGTAAACCGAAAAGTAAAAGACCGTATCCTAATTCATTCAGTGTGTCTGTGTGGAAAATACACATAATTTATTCCCAGAATTATCAGAGCTCGGACAGTCCCTATTGGCAAAATAATTCTGTTACAGATTTCTTGCTGTAAACGACAAAAATGGGTCAGATTTTTATTCCACAGTAACCCAACCCACTTTTTATTTTTAAAGAAAATAGTTCCTTATGACACCAGCACTAAAAGGGGGGGGCAGTGCTCTGGAAAGCTTTTGAATATTTGACTTTGAGAGTTGTGCGACTCTGAGTTACTAGATCTATCTTATCGATTGCAATTTTCATTTGTTTCAAATTTTAACCAATATATTTGTTAAAGCCAAATTTGTCTGATGAGCCATACTGCCTCAAAGTACCTTGCATAGGCCCATCAGATTGTATTAAATCTCAGCTGGATTAAACCCTAAAATTAAGTATTGTATAAACTACAATGGCGTATATACTCTAGACTTCATCTAGAGTATTTGAAAAATGATAAACTTTTATTTCTGCTCTACTTTGCTCTTATACTGTAGTAATGTCATCAACTTCTATAATAAAGGCATGTTAGTCTTTATTACAGAAATATTATTTATTATAGAACTACTTTATTTTTTTTTTTTATTGATCTTAGGGGAAGGGAGGGAGAGAGAGAGAAACATCAATGTGAGAGAAGAACATCGATTGGTTGCCTCCTGCAGGCGCCCCAACCAGGGATGGAACCCACCACTAGGCATGTGCCCTGACCGGGAATCGAACCCGAGACCCCTTGATATGGGACGATGCTCCAACCAACTGAGGCACACGGAACAGGGCAGAGCTATGATTTATTTAAACAACATCATCCTTTCTCTCAGACTGTGCCATCGTGAACTGGCCGAATCTGCCAGTTGTGGTGTGATGGTACCTCATACGGAATGTATGCTGGCTTTCTCCTCTTCGTTGTCATCACACCCTAATAAAATGTCCATCCATGAGACCGTCCCTCCTAAATTTTAGAGAAAACACCCTCATTCTTTTTTTTTTCTTTTAATCCTCATCTGAGGATATTTTTCCATTGATTTGTAAAGAGAGT